TTTTAGGAGGGGGAAATTCCCTCTCTTCCCCCCCCCCCCCCCCTAATCGTATGACCTGCCAGCACGTACACTCTGTTGTAGATGGTTACTTTATGAGCATCACTCTCCACTTTCTCTCTCCTTCTACTCATTTATGAAAAAATAAAGTACTTCAAATCCAATTCCTGACACATTCACACACACTATTATTCAATCCATAAACCAATCAAGATGTAGAAAAAAAATGCTTTGCAAAATCAATATATAAATAGCAAACCGAAGTGTTTGAATTATGTGCTTGTTTAAATTGTTTACGAGAATGAATATCTATCAGGAGTAATAGTTTCTTGTATGACCCAAGTTTATTATAAAACATGAAAAAAGGAGCTCATTCTATAGATAATATTGTAAAAGAGTAAAAGTACACTTGTTGAAAAACTCATATTCTGATCTTATCAGAAATAATGATCTGACACAAATTTAAATTATGGGAAAGAGTGAAATGTTGCTCAAACTTTGAGGACAAAAGAAATAAAAAAAAACAGGAAAATTCTATCTGTTCTTGTTACACAAGCTCTAGGAAATTTCTCAGTTTGTTGGTTTCCTCTTAGATTGTTTTGAATTATGAATTATGATTATATTTTACTTTCGTATTCCACATTCTCAGATAACGGTCAATACTTCAAAATAACTCACTGATCTTTGTTTTCCGTTGGCGACGAGTACATAGTAGTGATGTCGATTTGTTACCCATGATAAATATCGGTCACGACTTTGAGTAACTATTTTATTTATGATGTAAAAGAATGAGTTATGCTCGCTTTTATTTATCTCTTTCATTACTCAAGAAACAAAATGAATCACACATAAAGAGACATTGAAATACTTTTTTTTTCTTTTTCGTTTTTTTTCCCCTTAAGGGATATATTGCACCTTCTATTCAATGTTCTGATGCATAAGCAAGGGGTAAAAAAAAAGAAAAGAGAACGAAAGAAAAATGAAGTATGTTGTGTATACATTTTTATTCAGCAGTAAAAGAAATAAAACGAGAGAATAACTTGATAAGAACATCATCATTAGGTACATGGTAATTTATTTCGTTTCTGATTAGTTTTTGATTTTAATTGATCAATAATTGAATATAAGAAATAAGAATAATTCATATTGACATTGTATTCGTGAACTTACTAATAAATAATTTCTTAAACAGGCGCAATTGTAAAGTATTTCACTACGACATCTATCAACTTACCGAATATAACTAATTATTGTTCCCTATTTATCATTTGAATTTTCTTGATACTTTAATTTTTATGTTTGCCAATGATCAAATCGAGATTATAAATGTATAAAATATATCAAATGAAGTTAAATATGATTGAAAATCCTATATCGCCAACCATCGTCCAAAATGACTTGAGAACTATATTGTCATATTTAGCAGTTGTTATCTGACAATTATATGCAAATATTTTTCTTTCATTACTAAGATCTTTTGGAACGCAATGTTTGTTAATAGTAATTAAAACGATTAGATTTATTCAAACAAAAGCTAAGACAAGGTTGAATATGATTAATACAAATGACAGTTAATTATGTTATCATCACTTAGTTACTTATTGAAGTAGTTGATTTGAAAACATTTAATTAGATATGAAAATAAATAGATAGAAATGATCATCAATTGTTACTAGGACTGGTAACTGTATTCTATTTTCAGGTGCACTATCCCGATTTGAGTTTTTCCTTTACACTACATAAATTATCTTCTGATCGAAATTTAAGACAGAATCTTGCTCAAAAGAGAAAAAGATAATTAAAATAAAGAAAAACCGAAGTAACAAATGATCTGATTTACGAATGGCTTACAGTTCTTTGCGATGACTTTCTCTGTATAAAAATTATTCAAAATAACAGAAAAATCATCTAAATCATGAAAGTCATCCATTAACTGTTTCTCTATCGACATTGCCAAATAAATCGATATCAGGAGAAAGCATCCACGAGTTAAAATGTTTCAATGTATTTTTTCTGATGTTAACTTAGGTAGAAAGATATTCCTAAGATAAAAGTCATTTGTAGACACACATATATTTTTAGCCCCATATTCGTACATTGTAGCCTTACAAGACCTGTGAGTATGCGTATGGAAATAGATCTTTTTAAATTCACACCCACACACTCTCTTCTCACATTATCGCTCGAAGTCGTACATCGGATCTGCGATCATCTTGATACACAAACAATCTTTTTTTTTCATTTTATTGACTTCGTTGATATCTCTATATAATTGCCCAAAAATTTGCGATCAGTACACATTAGATTTCATTTTCATATGACAAAATGACTTCATTCGTTTTCATGGGATTGTTCCATCTGAAAATATTCTATTAATTTATTTCTCATTTAGTTTCGAGATGAAAAATCGGATACGAGCATATCTATCAGTTTTTAACATGCGACAGTTGACTAGACTTCATTTATTGATCATTTTTTGGATCGAAGATCATCATTTGAAGATCATATTGCGTCATGCTACAGAGAGCTTTATGCTTACTTCACTTCCTATTAATAAATTTATGGTGTATATCAAATTTGCGTGACGTCTATACTAGTTCTTCAGCAAGAATGAAGAATACAGAAGTATGACTATATCGAACGAGAAACGAACCGATCATGTGATAATCAAAACAGTGTTTGATAACAGAAAAGAAATGTGTTTCTTGCACTTTACTTTTTTCAATTATGTGAATTGCAGTTGATCCCTTCTGTGTGTACAATCGGATAATATAGTTTTCGAAAATCAACTGTCAACAAAGCATGTACCATCGATTATGTACTGAAGTTAATGAGAAGCGTCACCCATTCTTAATGTTAATGATTGACGCAGTTTTGGACTTTTAACTAGAAGAAACTTTGAATATTGTCAAATTAGGAACTATGTTCGAAGTCTGAAAATGAAAGTGCTGTTGATTTAATTCTGTACCCCGTCCTTAATAGCAATACTGGCATCATCGTTTACATGGTTTTGAATAGTGGCATGTATTTGCGCAAAATAAACAGAATACTTTACCTGAAATGAATATTGAATATAATCATAGAAGTTTAACATAGTTGTTGTCGATATCATCAGTAGCAAAAGCATGAGGTCAGATGCTTGAAGTAATCTTGAAAAATCATTCATACCACTTCGATGAAATGATGACGAGAGAAAACAAGCAATATTTTTTTGGAAAGATTATTCATTGTGCTTGAAGAAAGTAAATATTATACTTCCTTCTTTCATTTTCAAATACACGACTACAGTAACTATGTATATAAATGCGTGTTTTAACGTCAAAATATGTTCCTTTTCAAAACCAACGATTGACAGTGACACTGTACTAATGCATCTACTCAGTGTGTTATCTATTGCAGTTTTGCTTTTGATCAAACAAGGTAAGCTGTATGACTATCATGAATTTGTCTTGTTTCCAACGTTTCTCATTCTATTTGAAGAAATCTCTTGTTCATTGAACATTTGCTCATTGGAGTTTTATTGAAAACAAAATTGAAGAGTGTTTGTTTGAACCAACTCACAGAACTGAGACTAGTAAATCCCGACAAAATTTTTTCAAAAAAAAGAAGAAGAGCATAGTTTCTTTTTCTGTTTTTCACATTTCTCGTACATGCGTCACCATCTGAAATGCTAACAATTAAGCTTCTAATATTGATCACGAAGTTTAGTTCTGAAAGCGTTGTTTTTCTATTAACTGAAAGTCTCCAACCAATTAAGAATCTTGAAGTCACTTATCAATTCTACCTAGTTGCATAGTATATTTTAGAAGAAGCACTAATGCAAACTGTCATACCGATTTTTCAAATATTCTATAAAGATCCTGTGCTATTACAATATCTCTGGATTTTGATTATTCGAAAAGAAAAGTAAGCACTAATTAAAATGCAGTCTTGTGATAATTCACTTTATTCAAACATCAGTGCAAGACATGGTGGAAGCATAGATTCGAGCCCATAATCTCCTAACAAACAGTGAAATACTATGAACTCCAAATGAAAATAGTTTTTCATCAGAATAATAGAATAATTAGTCTACGAATTTTTTTTCAAATATTGTTCATTTAATTAATACTCGATTTTTATTAGTTAAATTTTCTATTGAAAGAACACTGCCAGTGCCATTCTTATAATCATATAAAAATCATTGCTATTTATCAATGATTTCAGGCATAGATCAAAATATAGACACTGGAAACTTCACTATTCATACTTATGTACAATACTAAAAAGAATAAAATTTTCTTCAATTTGAAATTCTTTCTCCTAGCGTGCTGTAGAGATACGTTGATGGATTTCTAATGAAAGAAAAATGTATTTACATGCGGCAGAATTTCTTATACCGTACTCATCGTATGGACTACAGCTTAGAGAAAACATTCCTATTATGGAAAGAAAAACCCACATTTATATCGCATCGATGAGCTAGAATAATAGTCAAATACTTAATGATATATTACATTTCAGAAATACGTTCAGACATGGTACAAATGTTCTCTGTCTTGGTCATACATTTGATATTTTCTCTAGTCAATACTTGTTTAGCCAGGGAAAACTATCTAGAGTAGGATGTGAAAAGGTAGCAATCAGGATAAAATAATTGCAGTTATGGACAGTTCGTTGTTCAAAAGAGTACTCAAATATAATGAATTCTGAGATTTTCGTACCTTTGCGAATGCCAAAACACAATGTTTATCCTTGGCGCATTATGAAAAAGTAACATTTCTACTTCAAGAACGTTCACACGTGTTGTTTTCTAAAAGTCATCGGTTTTTTTCAATTCGAACATACCATAGAACACGGGTGAACTCTGTTATTTTATGTCTCATCGAGATTATTACACAATTCTTCACAATAAAATGTTGACACTTTATAACTCACTGCTGAGTTTAAATTCCTCAGTATACAAAAATTCAGCCTCTTCTTCAGAAATTCTCAGCACAGTCGCAGCATCAACAACGCTGAAAATGACAACGACACTCAGAACGGCAACAACAACTAGATCTACGACAAAAGCAACAACAACTAGAGCTACGACAAAAACAACAACAACTCTCAGAACGACGACAACGGTACCTAGAACGACAACACCACTCAGAACGACAACACCATCTAGAGCTACGACAACGGTACCTAGAACGACAACAACATCTAGAGCTACGACAAAAACAACAACAGCCAAAGCGACAACATCAACTCTTAGAACGACGACAACGGTACCTAGAACAACAACATCCAAAACGACAACAACATCTAGAGCTATCACAACGGCACCTAGGATGACAACAACAACATTCAAAACGACAACACCATCTAGCGCTACAATATCATCACCAACAACAACATCAACAGAATCAACAATAACAACAACATCATCATCAACAGCAACAGAAACATCCTCAACAATGACACCATCAACAACAATATCAACAGAATCAACTACAACAACAATAACATCATCAACAACACCATCAATAGAAGCAGCAGCAGCAACAACAACAACAACATCATCATTGACAGCAACAGAAACATCATTAACAACGACACAATCAACAACAACAACAGCAGCAGCATCAACAGAATCATCGTCGTTATTATCAACTACCTCAACTGGAATGACAGCCAAAGGTATGCCTGTTGGGAAAGAAAATAGTGTCACGATCAAAATATCCTAGATAATTGTGAAGTAAATGTATTCATAGCGGCATTACACACGATGGAGTATTATTGACTTGGTCTCTTGTTAGAGATATAGTATCCAATAGTTGCTCTAGTAGTTCTTTTATTTAACCAAAGTTCCTGTCATCGAAGCATATTAATATATTGAAAAGCTAAATATCACCACATGTACAACATGTCAGAGAAAAAAAAATGTTATTTCGTGCCAGGTTCACACTCACGGAAGTTGACATACCGCAACAGCCATTATAATGAGACCAGATTTTTCTACTAATTCTATCCGCTATTCGGAACTCGAAATCTTTGTTCGACAGATAATTGATAGAACTTACAGGTCATTCATTACCGAATTTTTTTGTCGAATAACTAATTTATTAGAGAATAATTATCCAACTCGACAAATTATCTTTGAACTAATATTTTTCTTCAAATCATCATATCAGTCAAACTGCGTGCACTTAATCGTGCGTTTACAAATTATCAGTCTTGCATTCTTCAGGAAGAAGCACAGACTAAGAGTATTTCCAGCGTTAGGCAACCTATCATTCAGTGTTTTGCAAAACTGATAAATATTTTTCATTAGTAGAAAATGCCAAATATCACGCCTTTTCAGGAATGTGAATGAAAAAATTGACATCATCAGACATTTTTCCTGACATTGAGAGCATAACAGGATGGGACATTTGTGGCTTAGAGATAAGTCCAAAAATAAAAAAAGAAGTAATTTTTCAAGATGATTTAAGAGATAGGGCGAAGAACGTGAAACAGATGTGAGCGACTTATCTTGCGTCAATCATAGTTAAATTCTATTGCAACTCACACACCATTAGACCATGTTAAGGATGACAAGTGTAATAGGGAAGAATGAATTTCTCAGCTATCGATTATGTTTCTGAATTTTTTTTCTCGATTCAGGGTCTATTTGCAGCATTGCTTATGGAGTTCCGAAACAGTTTGGAACTGGACAATGGCAGTCTTCTGTAATAGCGATTGATTTGAACAATGATGGTAACAAGGATATTGTAACGGCCAACAACATTAATGATACCGTTAGTGTACTACTTGGATATGGAAACGGGGTGTTTCGTACTCACGTACAATATGCAGTCGGTTGGTACCCATTCTCTGTGACGTCGGGTGATTTTAACAATGATGGTAGTATAGATCTTGCAGTGGCTAACGTGTTAAATAATACTGTCAGCGTGCTACTTGGATATGGAGATGCAAGCTTTAATAGTCATGTTCAGTATGCAGTCGGTTCGGGACCTGAAGTTGTAACATCGGGTGATTTTAACAATGATGGAAAGCTGGATCTTGCAACGGTCAACAATGCGCAGGGCAGCGTCACCGTGCTACTCGGAGATGGCAATGGAAACTTTGCTAGGTATGCGCAGTATTCCGTCGGTTCCTTTCCAGAGTCTATGACTATGGGGGATTTTAACAATGATGGTAAACTAGACCTTGTAGCAACTAGCGCATCGAATAAGAGCATTAGTGTTTTACTTGGGCATGGAAACGGCACCTTTACTGTTCATAGGAATTATTCGACGGATTGGAGGCCGCAGTTTTTGACATCAAATGATTTCAACAACGACGGTAAATTGGACCTCGCAGTAATTAACAACGACAATAGCAGCATTAGGATACTACTTGGGTATGGGAATGGAAATTTTTATACTCAGGGACAGTATGCAGTCGGCTTGTATCCATACTCTGTCACATCGGATGATTTTGACAATGATGGAAACATGGACCTTGCAGCCCCTAGCGCCATAGGTTCTAGTGTTAGCGTGTTGCTTGGAAATGGAGACGGCAGCTTTCAAACTTATTTGCGATATTCTGCGGGTTTCGTCCCATATTGCGTGACAACAGGTGATTTCAATAATGATCGAAAATTAGATTTTGTAGTGAGCAACTACTACACTTCTACTGTCTCCATATTATTGAATACTTGCTCCTGAACTACTAACTTTCTGCTATAGAACCGTATAAAATATAAGATTTAATCAGGCGTAACATATACTGATGTTGATGCTTTTAAAATAAAGAATTGATGACGCACACACTTATGAAAAGTGTCTATATGAAAAGATAATTATGATTCATTTTTAAGATCGTCGCAATAAAGTTTGTATCAGGATGTTTTTTTTCTCCTTAGATGGACATGTTCAAAACGAAATATTAAAAATAGAAAAATCATCAACATATCGACTTTCACTAACCCTAGAAGGTATCCTGTTCGACTCGTCTCCTGTCACATCCAGACACACAATTAGGTTAAAATTTATTTCAGGCAATCATTTATTAATAGCTAAAATATACAATTTTCTCGACGATATCTACGATGCAATTCTTGATGACAAACATGAGGAAAGCATCATGAATAAATTTGACAAGTCAGATATTATGAACAAAATGATTGACCTTCTTATGTAAAATATGACCATCAAACTATCCTAGAATGATTAAACTACAACATGATATCAATCAGTCAGAAAATGAAATAGACATTCTCATTATTTATTGAAAGTAAAAATTATCTTACCAATACACAATCTTTCATTGCTCATCATAATCCTGCACTAGAAATTAATGCTGATTGAATAACAGTTGAAGCTAGAAAATACACTTGGATCCCGATCCATACCTATCTTAATCCGTACTTCATTCAAATATTCGAAACAGATACGGAAAGTTTGATTCTTCCATTTTCCTCTCTCGTTGTAGTCCTGTTTCGATCAATGAATTCTCAAATTCAGAGGCACTGTCATCTGAATCTTTTTGACTTTCACTTATTTGACGTTGAATACTCTTTCGAGTGTTTTTGTTTAATTTTTGGATGACTTTTTTTCATTTTCATGTTCATCAACAATAAAAGTGCTGAAATCCAAAATTCATTTTCTTCTGATTTGTTATCTTCTTCATATTCATTACTTCAATTTTCATAATCAAGTGATTTAAAAGAACATTTATTTTTAAATTTTTGATTTATTTTCCTTTATTAATTTGGTGTTTTAAAAATCATGTATTTTAAATTTTATGTTGCTGTCGATATTGTTTGTCAGTTTCGTCAAAATAAAATGTTTAATAAACATTCGTTGGCAGAATTTTATAGTGATTCTGATGATGAAGAAGATATTTGAGATGAAGCAATGACTATTAATCGACATCTCTATCAATTATCAATAGCATTACATTTTCATCTTAGTCAACAAAATTTGACATCAGAAGATGATGATGATGAAGAACTTCACTTCAGAACTCATCATGAAATTATGGATTTAATGAATCGAATAAGTTTTGATTATAGTTAATATTTATATACTGTTCTTGTTTTTTCTTTATTTATAACAAATATTGAATGCATTTGATAAAGAAGAATCGTTAACTGAGGTATCAGAAACTGAAAAAGAACGTACAATGTCTCCATTAATCGCTGAACAAGAAGGTCTAGAACATCAATGATGATCTCTTATTAGGTAGCAATGATGAATCAGAATCTGAAGGAGGTACAATTATAGGTAACTAAAATAAAAAAAAAAAGAAATGATTAGATAAAACAATCCATTTTTTGTTGTATGTGGACAAGAAGAAACTTCATAATCGCTGATTCCAGTTATAAATTGCAAATTGTCAATTAATTAGAAAAATATTTCAAGATTTGTAAAATTGATGATTTTATATGTAAATTAAAATAGTTTTGTAATATATGTATATATATTGGAAACCAAAAGGGTTATTTAGTTTAAGCATGAATGTCACTAATGTAACATGAACGAGATTCGATGGTTTTAGAAATCAATTAAACGGAACCTCATATTCATATTTCTTTTTGTGAAAAGATTTTTTTCATAGGTAGTTTAATTTAGATACATTTTCAGACTCAAGATTTTTTTCAAATAGAATTTCTTTGCACTCCTAAAACCATTTTTTTAGGATGAGTTCTTCTATCTCCGATTAACGTAAAATTGAAAAGTTACATTTCCTTCCATGCGATGACATTTTCTATTGTCACCATCGTCTGTAGTTCTGATTTGTCTTCAAGATATTCATTGCTTTTTTTTCTCTTTTAGATTTTTAGTTTATGAACAGAACCAAATATACAAGAATGCTTGCATAAAAATCTCAATTTAGAATATTCATATCTGTATAAGAATGTTTTATTGTGTTGTATTTTTATTAAGTGTGCTCTATTTGAATTGTAAAGAATTACATACAAGATTTCTATTTTTCTTTTAATTATTTATTTTGTTCATGTAGAATAATTTAAACACTATTTTTGAATAAAAATATTCGTTAATTCATTTCAGAAATGAGACCTTTTGAATACAATAATGGTAGGAAAAGTTAATGTTATGCACAAAAAATTGTAAAACTTTCGGATAAAATCAAATATTAAGTTTCTATTCATCACTAAAATTGTTAGAGTTATCGAAAAAAAAAGGTGATTTATCCCGTTGCAGCTCGTAATTATCATTTCGATGTATTGCAATTAATCGATCATTTCTTAGTAATTTAAGGACATCCGTAGCTGCTCAGACGAACAACACTAGTGTGTTGGCGATTCTAACAGAGGATTGTATAAATTCAAGGTAAATCCATACGATTTATAGTCAATAAAACACATCAAAATGCTTCGAGCGGCAAAGACAACAGTATTTGATACACTGAGACTGATTCGAACACATCATTTAGAACAACAAGAAAACTTTGCCTTTTTTCGACATCATAATGATTGTCAAGACTTCTTTCAGCTAGAATTCTAATTTAACATATATTTAAATAAATGCAATAGATATAATATGAATCTTTGCATCAAATAATGGTTGAAAAACAATGTCAGTAAAGCTATATAAAATAATTCATAGAAGAAAATATTTCATCAATCGAAGCCTTGATTATTTTAATCGATTTCCATGTTGATGCGACGTTTCGTCAATCTGTACGAGAAAAAAAATTGAATTATTTCAGAGTAAAACGTCAATCAACTCTCTCT